AATATATTATAAATGATATGTCCTTTGTACATATATGTAAAATGAGACTGCAGGATATGAGAGATAATAAGTAGGCTGACTTCATCAGTAATATAACTTCATTATATGAGCATCATAAAAAATATGCAATATATAGATGATAAATGGGTTGCTCGTGCCCGGCCTCATTGTAGAGCTCAAGATTAACAAATTTATATCATTTTAGAGTTAAATTTTTTTATACATTATTTGATATGCAGTTAAAAATTTTGAACAATCATTTTACAGAAGTAAATACTGAGCTACTTTTGTGTATGACATGTTTAAATCATAATAATGAGTTTTATGCATTCAATAAATACAAATTGATTAGAATGACATAATTTTATCCAACTGATTTTAGTCTTTTTGATTAGATGGTTTTTGAAAATCAATTCGATACTTATATTATAGATATGCGATCTGATGATCAATTATTTTCAATAAAAGATATAAGAAGTCATGCTAAGAAAATGATCCAAAGTAGGGAAGATATTATATATCCTGTTGATTTTACTACAAGAACTGACATTAGTGTTACCCATTACTATAGCAGGCATTGAAAGAATAGTTTCTGCCATGAATATTATAAAAAATCATCTACGAAATAAGATTGAAGATCAATGGATAAATGATTTATTACTTGCTTATATTAAGAAAGAAATTTTAGTAGCTATTGATAATGAAGTAATCATTCAACTCTTCTAGAATATGAATAGTATACATAATAAATTGTAAGTTATTTACTATCTTATATTTAGTATTATACATTTTTTATAATAATCAATTTTTTTTAACCGCTTATACTAGTCCTAAACCTAGATGAAAAAAGTTTAAGATGCCCTATACATCATATGCTTTTACTGGTGTAAATATATTTTTCATGAAAAATTTTGTTATTTTCTCTAGAAAATTTTAATATTTAGGCTAAAAAAAAGTCAACTTATGCCATTGTTGAAAAAAATCTTAGCTTTGCCACTAATGTTTCATAAACAAGTATAAATATTTAAGTGTTAGATTTGTGAATAAATATTTGTTATATGTATGTAATCCCTCCTAATTTTTATGGTATATTCAATTAAAAATAAATTTAATGATAAAAAAATTATTAGAATTAACTTTAAATCAAATATATTGATTAATTGGTAAGAGTGGATGGGTCCGTGCAACCTTTAAAAAAAAAAAAAAATTTGGCTTCCAAAAGAAAAAAAAAACACAACTAAGGGTGTAAACGAGTCGAGTCGAGCCCAATTTTGAGCTCAATTTACCAACCTAATAGCAGGCAACTTATGCTCATTCTTGAGACATTGTCATATGGTAAACTTTAGCTCAACTCTTGTGCTTGAGCCAAAGTGGGAGAATGCATTGACGATAAAGATATTGATGATTCTAGTGGGATAATGATGGGAGCTCATTAGAGAAGTCGAGACACAAACTCTTGAGAGGCGACATTAATGAGTGGGAACTCATAGGAGAATACATCAAGGGGACGAATGAGTAGGATTGAGATGGGATCTCATTAGAGGAGGCTTTGATGTGACAAGTGGAGATCAAGAGAATTCATGTGAGAGATTATTGGAGAAGTCATTAATAAGAATAACACCATCACTTTTAAAAGTTGATAAGCTTATGAAACAAAACTAGGGTTTGAGCTTGAGTAGGCATCAATGGAGTCATTGAAGGATTGCAATTGAAGGATTGAAATTGAAGGACCATGAAAGAGTCATGATTTATAATTTATTCAATGTGGCTTACATGCTGAAGAGTAGAGTGACAATGAATTTATGGCTCAACAAAATTAGTTCATGAGCTTACTAACAAATAAAAAAAAGAGCCACCTCAAAAGCCATCATGGGTCATACTGCTAGACCTACACTACCATTATCAACAAAAACAATAACAATAACTTCAAGCCTTTATCCCATTATGTTGGGTTAGTAACATGAATCTTTTTTCTCTATTATGTCTTTTTAAGAGTCAAAATCTCATTTAAATATAAAAAAAGTGTTGAAACTCATTCACTATGAATTAGGTTGTTAAACCTAAGCTTATGTCTCACGGCTAACCAAGAGGGGGGGGGGTGAATTGGTAATTAAAAAATTTATAGGAAAGACACAAAAAAATAAGTGGCAGTTTAGATTGGACTATTTATAGGAAAGACACAAAAAACCGTCCAAAAATTGAATTTTCAAGTCAATACACATTGGATCGTCCTGTACGATCGTGGATCGTCCTGTACGATCGTGGATCGTCCTGTACGATCGTGGATCGTCCTGGACGATTTTACTTAAATGTGTTGGAAATGAACCTAATGTATATGAGTACAAAATGACTTCGTACACACACATCATCTCGTACGAACTAGGTTCGTCCGGTACGAACGGTTATTCCATAGGTCGTTCCCAAAAACTGTAGAACGTCACTAAAATTTCAGAGTCAGTTCACTTCGTCTAGGGACAAATATGGGTTCGTCCGGACAAAATTTTTCCATAGAGCAACTCGTCCTGGTACGATTATAAATTTCGTTTGAACAAAAATTCTCCAAAGGAGATTTCATCCCGGGACGAATACACTTTGTCCTGGACGAAAATACTCCAGAGAGCAACTCGTCCTCGAACAAATATAAATTTCGTCTGAACGAAAATTTTCCAGAGAACGTTTCGTTCTAGGACGAATACATTTCGTCATGGACGATCAGGACTTGGAAAAATTTTCTTCAATTCCTGTTCGTTCCATTGCTCTTACGAGGAGATAACTGACTTGATCGTCCCTTACGAACTATGTTCATCCCGTACGATAAGTACAAATTTTTTAAGATCTCCTTAAGTGTGTGTGTTTATTCACTCAATTACAATCACTCCCTCTCAAACTTAATTCAAAGAAAAAATACAAGCTTTAAATACACAAAGTATATAATGCTGAATTTGATTTGAAGTCTGGAGTTTGATTTTTCTGAAATGTTAGTACACACAAGAGCAAAAAATAACTCTTCCAAAAAGTGTTAGGAGATAACTACACATAAAATAATAATATTTGAAATCATCAAAATTGTACAAGTTGCAAGAATGTAAAACATGCAAATAGCAACTCTCTTAACAAAAAGGTCATTTCTAATACTTTCTAATGAAATCTTTTTAGGTCTACCTTTACCTTTCTTAAGATAAAGTGAATCTAAAACATTTACTCTCCTAACTGGATCCTTAGAAGGAGACATTTTATATGACCAAACCATATAAGAGGCTCTCTCTAATCTTATCTTCCATTGAAGCAACTCCAACCTTTTTAGGTATATACTCATTTCACATTCTGTCTCTATGAGTGAAGCCACTCATCCACCCATGCATCCTTATCTATGGAACACTTAATTATATTATTCTCTTTTAATGGACAATAATTTGTGCCACAAAGCATTGCAGGTCTCACCATCATTTTATAGAATTTTTCCTTAAGTTTTAAGGGGTACTTTTTTTATCACACATCAAGCTTGATGCATTCCTCTACCTCAACTATTCAACTTGAATTTTACTAATAATATCCCCATCTATTTCACCATCACTTTGAATAAGAGACTTGAAATATCTAAAATGTGTACTCTTTTTAATGACTTGATCTCCCAAAGTCATAATCCCTTTTCTAGATCTATTACTACTAAAATTACACTCTATGTATTTGATTTTAGATCTACTCAAACGAAACCCTTTGGACTCTAAGGTTTACCTCCATAATTTAAGTTTTTCTTCAACTCCCTCTCTAGACTTATTAACAAGAAGACTATCATTAGCAAAAAGCATACACCAACGTACATCCTCCTATAATTGTCTAACAAGAACATCTATGACTAAAGCAAAAAGATATGGTCTTAAAAATGATCCTTAATGTAATTCAACTGAAATAGGAAAATAATTGATTAGACCAACTTGTCTTTGAACACAACAGCTCATGCATACATATCCTTAATAATGCGAATGTATGCAATATTATTATTTTTAGAACTGTCCACACCGCCATCATCAGTAATTCAAAAACACTATTGTTGCTTGCTATGATAATCTCAAGCTTCAATCATTTTGGTTCAACAAATCCAAGCCCAAAACCCAACTTAAATTCTTCAATTAAAGAGCATGCAATCCAACATAATTAGTTGCAATGCAATAGTTGCTATAATCTCCTTTGGCCTTGACAAATGTTTTATGTTTCGTTTTTTGGACATTTGAGTAGGGGTGTCAATTATTGACCCGACCCAAACCCGATCAAAAAAATTTGGGTTTCGGTCTACCCCTTTAAAAAATGAGTAGTGTTCTGGTTTCATTTTTGAACGGTTTGAAAATTTGGGTTAGGTTTGGGTCAACCCACTAAACCGAATTTGCTCAAGTCCCCGTTCGAACTTGCCCCTGCACAAGTGCCTTTCCCTGCACTCGCCCCCGCGATCTAGGCCTGTGCTTGCACTTGCGCTCGAGTAATGTCACATTACCGCTCGCACCCGCATAGTTTCCCTTGCACTGATGCGACCTCAGCCTTACTCGCTTGCCATCATGCACTCGCTAGCACCCACGCATTTGCGAGGTCCCTCCCTAGCACACAGTCGCGTAGTCCCGCATGCGACCCACGCTTAACGCTCGCGTGCTACACTCTTGCACATGTGTGTTAGTAGGTCAAGTCAATCCGAGAATCCGACGGGTCAGGTTTTGAATTTCTAATATTTTTGTCTAATGGGGTTGGGTCTGAATCTGAATTTCTGACATGCTTGTCTAATTGGTCGGTTTAAGGTCAAATAAGTTAAAGGTGGGCTAGTTTTGGGTTTGACCCGAACCCGACCCAAAACTCATGTTGACATCTCTGCACTTTACATAATTAAGACAAATTCATACATACATCATATACATAAACTTTAAATTTAAGATCTCTTATTTGATAGTCACAACTCCAAACGAACCCATCAAGGTTAGCTTCATGGTTTTAGGTTTCAAACTTGGAGGGTTTAATTGATTGGACCGTAAAACCCAATTCACAAGAAGACCAGGCGACAAACGACGAGGCCGATGCAATGCCTTCAACGGCCGTCTTCTTCACTCCTCGCCTCACTTGTCTCATCTGTCCCTCCTCTCGTTCATCTCCACCTTCACTCGTCAGAAGATACGACTCAATTTCTCTCCCTCATTTGCCAACAGTAATAGTTTAACTCCACACTAGCGTTTGCTTTTCCTCAATCTCCTACCGTCTAACGATTTACGATGTTTTCGTTATTTATCTAGGATAATTTTCGGTGCAGAAAAAACGGGATTAGGTTTGGGAACATTGCAAGAGGTGCTTAATCGTATCCTTGAAACCACCACTGGTCCTCTTCGACGTTCTCCTTGTCGAAGCTTAATAAGTTTCTTATCTCGCAGGGAAATCCATTATTGTTGCTCCATTGAAGGTAGCTTCCTACTTGCCCAATTCAGATAGTTCCCCTGGGAAAAAGTTGGTATCTTCTATATCGCCTAGTTCAGAAGTTAAGAGTGCAGAGAGTATAGAAGAGTATACAGTTCTTAGGAAGTTAGAGCCCTCTGGAAGGATCAATTTGGACCCATTCCGTGGAAAATCGGGTTGTGTTTCTTTCTGTGGATTGAGTCACCAACTCGTTGAAGCGAGGAATTTGGTTTCTTCTCCTTTCGAGGATGGAAAGGGTTCTATATTATGGATAGCAGCTCCACTTGCATTGATTTCGTCGTTGCTGCTTCCACAGTTTTTTATTAACAATTCTATTGAAGTATTTGTGAAGAATGAAGTTTTGAAAGGTATTTTATCTTTTTTCTTGCTTCCATTGCTATTTTCTTTGATTTAACGTATAGCTTAAGAATCTATTTGTAGATCTTCCCAGGTATGATTATTTCTTATGCAGTTACGCTTCTTTCCATGAATTTATAAATTGAAAAATATGATTTTTATGGTTTCAAGTTCAAATGCATCTGAGTTTCATGGTTGTTTGAGTTCAACATGTAGAAGATTTATTTAATTATTTGATTTGAACCTTTTGGGCTTGTTGAACCGGGAAAGGAGGCGGTTTGATCCTTCAACTTGCTGAACCGTTGCAAGTTGTGCAACTTGGCTAGTGGAGCTTGTTGAATTGACGTGATAGCTCGAATTTTAGCTTGTGATCTGGGAGGTTTCACCAATTTGACCATTAGGCTTACTGGAATGTAGTTCCATGTTGAAGCCTAATCTTTTAGGCTTATTTAGCAGAAGATTTGAATGCTGATTCAGCTCTCGGGGCTTGTTTGATTAGCAAAGTAGCTTAATCCTTATATTTATGATCTAAGAGACTTTGCTAGGTCAACCCTCGAGCTTTTTGAATTGTGAAAGGTGCAATTCAATTCTTGGACTTGTTGAGCCATTGAATGTTGTTTCAATTTAGCTATTGAATGAATTGACATGATCATTTGACTTTTAGGCTTGTGACCTGGAAGGTTTACCAGTTTGGCCCTTGAGCTTCTTGAATTGAGACTTGAAATCTGGCTTTGGTCATTGAAATTATTGAACTTAAGAATGTGTTGATCTATTGGAGCTTGTTGAATCAATAAAATAACTTGGACTTTTGGCTTTTGGGCTAAGAGCTATTATTGTTGTGATGAATATTTTTACTTAATTGCAAACATGGTTGGCAATTGGCTTATGAGATTATGATTGTGATGCTTGATTAAATCTCTTTGAAATGGATTTATATAAATTGCCCTTTCTTTAGTTGGAGAATTTTAGCAGGCGTTCTTAATTTACTTTTTAGATTATGGATTTATAATTGTTTATCCAGTTTGACTTCTTAAGCTTACTATTTGCATCTGGCTTCGATAATTGTTTCTTGGGTTGTAATCCGTTACATTCTTTTCCTTTTTTTGGAGGAATTTTTGTTATTGTTGGTCCTAGCACATTAACATTTAGGCAACCTTTCAAAATTTTAACTTATTCAATTATTACTAGGAATTGTTGAAAACCATATAGAGGTAGGGTTATTTGATCCTCAATGTTCCTCATTAGGAGCTTTATGAAATATATATTTAGATGAGCTGTTGAACAAATCACATGGTATGATTTTTCCATCTTGCGATACATTTAGTGATGATATCGTCCATTCTCTTCTCAAGAAAAGATTCACCATATTTACTTTAATAGCATTGATGGACCTTTTGACGAGCATTGAGCTCTGTAAATGTTTAATGAACTTGTTGGGTAATTCAACTTACCATTCAAAAATAATATTTAGCTTGGTTGTTCATGTACTAGCATTGCAGCATGATGTCGGTTCTTCTAGTGTTTTTGCAGTTAGCCTTGAATTGAGCTGCCAACTGTTATTTGGAATTGTCAGTATTTGAGAAAATATTAAGTTTTGGATTAGAGAAAGTATTAAATTTTGGCTTCATACTGCATGAGTACTATACTTGATTGTCTTCGATCATATATGGTCAACATTTTCCCCCTTATGCCTTGACAATCTTAGAAGCAATGCTTGGTTTAACTTTTTGACAAAATAAGTCTTTAATTGTTTTAGTGACCGTCTCAACTTTTGTGTGAGTGGCCTCTGTGGCCCCTTTGGAGGAATTTGGTCCTCTTTTTGGAGCAATTGGAGCACTCAAAAGAGTAGTTTGAGTACTTCTTGCTTTGATTTTTGGATTTATGAGACTAGGGGAATTTCACAATGTAGTTGTTCATTTGCATTCACTTGATATTATTGGACTAAGCTAATCGAATAGCTCTTTCATCATATCACTCATTTCATTACGGTAAACATGTAACTTATTGATCTCTTGGCATTTAACATGCAATTGATGTTGCATTTGTTGCTGTAGCCTTACAACCTTAGAAGAATCTTTGCCTTCCACAAGTCTTTCTTTTTTGTTAGGAGGATTTATTTTATGGCAACGATTAATTCTAATTATTTTGGGTTCTCCTTCTACTCATGAGGTTGAAACCATTTCATATTTCTTGAATGGATATAAATCATTTGACAGCTTAATCTTGTGTATGATTGACCATGTGAATAACTTCAATTATCATGTGTTATATATTTTAGACACCATCTGTTATTGTGGTTTTAGTTATTTTTGACATTGTGGGGAGAATTGTCTTTGCCCTCTGTAATTTGGTTGCATGGTTCTTTGATTATCAGTTCTTCCTAAGGAAGTTAGTGGCATTTTATAGTGGATTGTGGGGAAGCACGAGCCTCTTCTAAAGCATGAATTTGCTCCTCATTGTTGATGCATCACTAGAATGATAAATTTTGGAAAATTAATGAAAATCTAAAAAAATGATATGATTAAAAAAATGATATGATTAATGGATGACCTCCTTTTGTCAACTTTATATAACTATAATAGTTTTGTTGCTTTCATGTTGTTATTTTAGTTTCCATGAATTATAAGGCAGTTGTAGTGATGTGTTGTGTGTTGTGTAACCATGGAAAATGGTGGCCATGTTAGCTAATCTTAGCCCACCCAAGCAAGTCAAAGTTAGTTTTCCATAGCCCCATGAAAGTCAATTGACAATGGCTGACGCTCTTTCAGGGTGTTTTCATTTTGACATTTTGATGCTTGCATGAAGAGTCATAAAGTGTCTTTTGAAGTTTCCAAGTGGATGCATGCATTTAAGGAATTTGGTCAATGCATCCTCCTTGGCTGACCCTCTTTAATATTGCCTTTCGATTTTTTTATATCAAAAGTATCTGAATGCTATATTTATGTATAGGAATGATGTGTAATATCAGATTATAAAGTATTGAAATCAACTTGAAGAATTCAATTCTTCTGGGATTTTATTGGTGGTTATTTCTTGAAGTTTGGCATGATGGCTCTCATCTCATCCTTCCTTTGATAAGGTTTGGCTTATCTATGAATACATAATTATTTTTTTCACTTTTATTTACTATTTTCCATTAATTTAAACCTCTCGTATTTCTGGGCGTCCTTCGCATCTCACATCTCCTTTCACCTCATACATATTATATAATTATATATATTATATATATATATATATATATAATATAATATATATATATATTATATATTATTTATAAAATTGCTTCCTCAATAGTCCAAATTTGTGCTCTTCGTTTTTCACCCACTCTACTCATCTAAACATCCATAGCAACCACCTCCCCTCCCTCACTTTTTTAACTTTCCAATAGCTAAAATCATAAACTCGTCATTGTTAACCTCGCCTTTATTCTGAACCCAACAAATCTCCGCATAAGATCCACAATCTGAACTAATACCCTAACTACGTATGTTAAAGAATTAATTAAGCAATTTGACATGTAAGGATGCAAATGTGTAAATATCCTCATGAGCAATACTACTCAGTTAGATAGAGACCCTAGTGGAAAACCTGTAAATCCGAAAAAATATAAAGGCATAATAAGATACATATTATATTTGACTGCCAATCAATCTTATATTATATTTAATGTTTGTTCACAAGCACAATTTCATGCTAAATCTAATGAATCACATTTGATCGCGTTTGAAAATTCTTCAGTATCTCATACGAACAATTAGCCTAGATATTTGGTATACTAAGGATAGTGTATCATTTAACCTAGTATGTTTTTGAGAATCAAACTCTGTAGGTTGTAGAGTTGAGAAGAAAAACACATAAGAAACATTTCAATTTATTGGATGTATATTAATCTCTTTGTCCAGAAAACATAACTCTGTAGCCCTATTCATTGCAGAAGCATAATACATTGTTGCAGGCAAGGTTTAAAATTGCATAATTGGGTATTGAGACGTTTTTTTTTTCGTGAGGCGAGGCGTAAGCCTCAAGCGTTTTGAGGCGTAAGCCTCAAAATAAAAAAATTACGTTAAGTCAAAATAAATGTTAAATGTATTTTTTTATATAATATCCAAATAATATGTTAAAGAATGACATGTTATTTTTCTCTATTGAATTATGAAGTAACAAATTGACATATATGTAAAATAAAAAGTTGCACAAGATATTAAGTGTCAAGTGATAAATTACATATAATAGAATTGAAATTCAAATATTATAAGAGCAAAATAATATTAAATATATAAATGACATAAAAATATCATATAATATCAAGTTTAACACCAAATTCCTTCTTTCTCAGTTCCCTACTCATCCACATTAAATTCCTTAAGAAAATTGAAATAGTTGACAAAAACATAGATTTCATCTACACTGTCATCACTAAGGAGGTATTTATTTGAGATGTCATCATAACAACAAATTGTTCTCTCCCCTCTCTCATACTATGGAGTTCAATGTTTCCCAATTTGCTTATTTGTTTATTTCAGTCATATTCCTCTTTCATAAATGTTTTTCATTAATATAAAGATTAGATTAATACTCTTAAAATTTTAGAGGAAGTGGTGGTGGTGTGCGAGTTTCAAGTGATCCGTGGCGGCTACGACGATGTTGAATATGGAGAAAACGGAGGGCTGGAGGTCAAGAAAGTCAAGAGCAAGTTGTTGCAGCTTGGGGGTTCATTAAAGCACAATTTTTTTGAGGCTTTAATTTAGGATTTATGTAAGTTTTAATAAAAATATATATAAATAGGGTGAGGCTGTAAGCCTCATAAAAAAACTTTGAGGCGTAAGCCTCGAGGCTTTTTTCACTGGAATTGCGCTGAGGCGAGCCTCATATTGCGCAATTTTAAACAATGGTTGTAGGAAGTTGTGTCGCTCAATTTTTATGGCCAAAGCGACTTCTTAATTTCGGTCTCGAAGTAAATAACATACCTATCTCTTATGATATATTAATACTATTTGTATCACAAACAACT